CATCCATCGTGGGACGCCCGAAGATGCCGGGCATCATGGTGGGTATGGACCAGAAGGACCGGCGATCAAGGGATTCAGACTCGTACCCCCAAGGTTGTGCCCCTAAAGGCTCCCCCCTTATGTATTCCTAATGTGACCCTTATACCACCTCCAGGATCTTTAGAAAGGGTCCCCAAAACCCGACATTACAACCTCAAGGGTCCAAAATAGAACCCCCAGAGCCGAGACGGGACGTTCCTTACTGGGAATCAAAGGTACCTACCCTGCGTACCCTACATCGCACGGTCCCTGAGAGGGCTTGTCAGGGGATAAGGCACCTAATTCTGAACAATTCCCTGCTCAGAACCAGTAGGTTAGCCGTCGCTCAGCCCTTCACCCCAGACCCCCTAAACCCCATAAGCGCCCTAAACCCCATAACCCGAGGATCCTATGAACAGTTTCCAAACCCCAAAAGCCCCAAAGCCCCGAAGCCCTAAGCCCTAAACCCTAAGCCCTAAACGCCCTGAGAAGCAGGGTCTAGGTGGGGTGCCGCCCTCACAAGCGGCGGTCGTCCATTTTGTTTTGACAAGTTTACAAAAACTCGAATGGAACTTGAGACGCCACGCAGTGCAAGCTTGAACTACAAATCTTATGGTTTAAACTCGCATTTTCTTGGCGAAAAAAAAGCCCGAAAACCCTAAACCCTAAACCCTAGCCCTAAACCCTAAACCCTAGCCCTAAACCCTAAACCCCAAACCCCCAACTAACGCGCAGGACTCCTATGTGGGAGACGAGGCTCAGTCCAAGAGAGGCCCAGGGCCGCCGGCCAAAGGGTCTCGGATTTTTGAGGTTTTAAATTTAGGGTTTAGGGTTTAGGGTTTAGGGTTTAGGGTTTAGGGTTTAGGGTTTAGGGTTCAGGGTTCAGGGTTCAGGGTTCAGGGTTCAGGGTTCAGGGTTTAGGGTTTAGGGTCGTTTTTCCTTACTTCGCCAACAGCTGATCTTGAAACTTTTTGGGTTTTCTTACTTAGTAGGAATATTAAAGTTTAACCCTTTCTTCCCCTTGGTTATTGGAGAAGGAAGTTTCTATCAGGTGTTTGAAGGTGGCCATCGGGTTTCGAATAGGGTTTCTACAGGGCGTTTAGAGGGTTTCGTAGGGTGTATAGGGTGCTGCAGGGTTTCTATGGGGCAGTTTGTAGGGTTTGTAGGATTTGGGGAGGCGTGGAGGGCTTCAGGGGTTTCAGGGGTCTGAGGGCTTCGGGGTTCGAGACTTTTTTGGGGCTTTTGGGGTGTTGCTTTCTTGTTTGTGTGCTGGGGGTGTAGAGTATGCCCAGAGGCGCCCTTTCCCTGTTTCTGCTTCAAAGTGCCCTTCCAAAGTACCCAACCCCCAAAAAGGGTGCCCTTATCATACTGCTGGGTGGGCTACCAAGGGGTTCTGGGATTTAGGGTTTAGGGTTTATTCCTTAGGGCTTTGGGCTTCACAGGCCCGGGGGCTGGGCTAAACAAGTGGTACAACATGATACACAGGGTTCAGGGTTTAGGGTTTAGGGTTTAGGGTTAGGGTTTTTCAGTATATGTATAGAACAGCTTTTCCTGTTGGAGTCCTTGTTCCCTGCGAAGCTTAGGCAGCCTTAGGGACCAGTGGGGAGCACCCACCCTCCCTTGTAAGGGTAGTTATACTCAGCACCCTTAGTTCCCAAACCCTAAACCCTAAACCCTAAACCCTAAACCCTAGACCCTAGACCCTAGACCCTAAACCCTAGAATGAAGGAGTCTTGGGAAAGGTGTGCTCACGCTGAAGTACCCCATTGAGCACGGCATCGTCACCAACTGGGATGACATGGAGCTCTGGGCTTAGGGATTAGGGTTTTTAGGGTTTAGGGTTTAGAGTTTCGGGTTTAGGGTTTAGGGTCTAGGGTTTAGGGTTTAGGCAGTCAGGCCCTAAACACGTTATGTTTTATTGTATTCTTGTAGTGTAGCCAAACTATAGTATAAAAATTCTATATTTGTCTCAGGAGAAGATCTGGCACCACACCTTCTACAACGAGCTGCGCGTCGCCCCTGAGGAGCACCCGGTGCTGCTGACGGAGGCCCCGCTGAACCCGAAGGCCAACCGCGAGCGCATGACGCAGATCATGTTCGAGACCTTCAACGCTTTTCGGCTGTGTTTTCCGGGGGGGCCTGGGAGGAACACTCGGGGATGCTGTGGCATGCGGGCGGTTAAATAGCTTCAAAGACCTCTCCCCCCCCCCCCCCCCCACACCATCCCGGAATCGCATTCGCAACTTGGCAATTCGGTGCTGTGCTGAATTCGCCCCCTACACGCCCCGAAAGCCTAAGCCCACGCCCCCCACCCCCCACATTAGATGCACGAGATCCGCTTCCCCCAAAGTCCTAAGCCCCCCATGATCCTCAGCAGAGGTTCCGGCGATGTACGTTGCCATCCAGGCGGTGCTGTCCCTCTATGCCTCCGGCCGCACCACGGGCATTGTCATGGACAGACCTGGAAATTCACCCTAAACCCTCAACCCTAAACCCCGAAACCCTAAACCCTAAACCCTAGTCCACTTGTTCAAGTGGCCCTCCTGAAAGGGAGAGCATGGGAGGAGAGTTCCCTTGTAAGGGGATATCTCCAGATGTGGGTTTTTAGGGTTTAGGGCTTAGGGTCTACGCGAACCTAACTAAACCCTAGGTCTAGACCCTAATCCCTACAATCTCCTAAACCCTAAGTCATACAACGGGTCTAAGGTTTGGAGCTCCCCGTGGTTTGTGCAGCTACGGCTGATGTGGGGTTCCGGGTTGTGTCGCCGAAGTGCTCACCAATCGGCATAGCTTGCAGTCCTTCAGGGTTTAGGGTTTAGGGTTCAGGGTTTAGGGACACTAGTGATGACCGAAGTGCTGAATACCCTGCAGAACAAAACGCACATCACGGAGTCTTCCTATGCTTTTTGGCTTTAAGGCCTGTAGGGACTTCTTGGGTATAAGGGTCCCAAATTTAGGGTTCATTTAGGGTTTACAGAGCCTCATGGAGTCATCTGGTTTTTGTAGGACCTAGATTTTTTTTGAAACGGGTGCATCGAGGGCTCGTTGTGGGGGGCTCCAGCAGGTCGATGGTGTTTTCGGGGCTCTGGGATAGGGTTTAGGGTTGAGGGCTTAGGGTTTAGGGTGTAGGGTTTAGGGTTTAGGGTTTAGGGTATAGGGTTTATGGTTTGGGGTTTAGGGTTTCCTTGGAAGCCCCAGAAACCTCTTTTTTTGGAGGACAGCGGCGACGGCGTCTCGCACACCGTGCCGATCTACGAAGGCTATGCGCTGCCCCACGCCATCCTCCGACTGGACCTGGCTGGCCGTGACCTCACGGAGTACATGATGAAGATCCTGACCGAGCGCGGCTACTCCTTCACCACCACGGCGGAGCGTGAGATTGTCCGTGACGTCAAGGAGAAGCTGTGCTACATCGCGCTGGACTTCGACAGCGAGATGAAGGCGGCCAGCGAGAGCAGCGACAAGGAGAAGACGTACGAGCTGCCCGACGGCAACATCATCACCGTGGGCGCCGAGCGCTTCCGCTGCCCAGAGGCTGGAGTTCAGTCTTGTAGCGCTGTAGTGCGAATGTTGTCACGAGACGTGCCTGTACATATTGTGCCATTGCAGTCCTCTCCAGCATGTCTGTGCCTAGCAGGTGCTTTTCCAGCCCAGCTTTGTGGGCAAGGAGGCCAGCGGCATCCACGACACGACCTTCCAGTCCATCATGAAGTGCGACGTGGACATCCGCAAGGACCTCTACTCCAACGTCGTGCTGTCCGGCGGCACCACCATGTTCCAGGGCATCGGCGAGCGAATGACCAAGGAGCTGACGGCCCTGGCGCCCTCCACCATGAAGATCAAGGTGGTGGCCCCCCCGGAGCGTAAGTACAGCGTGTGGATTGGAGGCTCCATCCTGTCCTCCCTGAGCACCTTCCAGCAGATGTGGATCTCCAAGGGCGAGTACGACGAGAGCGGCCCGACCATCGTGCACCGCAAGTGCTTCTAAAGCCTTGCGCCAATTTGTGAGGCGAGCTTGTTTGCAGTGCTTCTGGCGGTCATGTCGAAGAGGGTCAAGCCCTCATGTTCATGACTTAGCCGGCAGCATGTCTTAGCTTGAGATCAGCGTCATGGGGACGGATCACTTCCGGAAAGACGTGCAACGGACCACATCCGAAGACAAAATGCGGGCAAGCGCCTATGAGCCTTTACACTAAACCCCATACATGGCCTCCAAACCCTAGATTTTGCCTGACATGGCGACACTGTACATCGCGAGCCCTAAATTGGAGTTGGAGCCCTTCAAGAGCTAGTTTTTGGAGGCTGCCGATGTTGTCGTGGATCTGTCAGCAGGCCCCTGCGCTCTAACGCCACCCACTGGAGGGTTACGTAGGGTGACCCGTAGCTTGGAAGCGAGATCTTTGCGATCTACCGAGAGGCATCTACTTTCCTGTTTGAAGTACTGGGCTTAAGTGGCCCGTAAAACCCTGCAACCCTTATGCCCTTAAACCCCTAAACCCTTAAACCTTTGAAACCCTTAAAACCCCTAACGCCCCTAACCCCCTTTAACGCCCTTTAACACCCTTAACACCCTTAAAACCCTTAAACCTTTTGAAAACCCTTAAATTAAAACCCTGAAGCCCTTCACACCCTTCACACCCTTCACACCCTTAAGACCCTTACCCTTAAACCCTCGAAACCCTTAACGCCCTTAAACCCTTAAATCCCTTTGACCCTTTAACCCTTAAAACCCTAAAACCCTAAAAACCCTTAAAACCATTAACGCCCTTACAACCCTTAAAACCCTTAAAACCCTTAAAACCCTTAAAGCCCTTAAAACCCTCTATCCTTTAAAGCCCTTCACACCATGAACAGCCCTTAAACCCTTAAAAGCCCTTTGAAAACCCTTAAAACCCCAAAAGCCCTGAAACACCAAAACAAGCCTGAAGACCCTGAACACACTACAAGGTTCGCGGTGGATTCCCGCGCGTGGTACAAAAGGCATGTTCTCAAGAACGGACGTGCAGAAAACATCGGCAGGGTGGGTTTTCAGGAGTAGAGGAAGATTTTTGCCATTTTGGGGGGCATGCTATTTCTAGTTGGTTTTGGTGATTTTTGTAAAGTGACTCTCAGGAGAAGCCGAAAACATCGGCAGGCATGGGTTTTTGTAGCACTGCAGGAAAACCTGGTCCATTTTGGCGGGCATGCTGTTGAGGCTGTTTGCCTATTTGTTTTTTGTTTTGTTTTTTTGAAGTCACTGTGAGGACATGCCGAAAACATCAGCAGGCGTGGGTTTTCAGCAGTAGAGGAAAACTTTGTCTATTTTTGGGGGGCATGCTATTCGCCTAATTAGCTACAGTAGTTTTCGTGAAGTGACTCTCGCTGTATTTATGGGTTAGAGATTTCGGAGTGGAAGGCCGGGTCATGGGTTTTGTGTTGAGGGTTTTTTCTTGCAGGGTATCGCCGTAAATACCAGTGTTTTGGGCATAAATAGCTGTAAATACCAGTGTTTTTGGGCATGGTCGCGAAAGGCATGGACGCTTGTGATAGATTTTTTCTTGTTCCACATCCTTGTGCAGTATGTAGTACAAAGAGGCGAAAACGCTGTAAAAAACATCAGTGTTTTGGGCATAAAACGCTGTAAAATACCGGTGTTTTTGGGCACGGTCGCCAAAGGCATGGCCGCTTGTGATAGATTTTCTTGTTCCACATCCTTGTGCAGTATGTTGTACAAAGAGGCGAACACGCTGTAAAAAACACCAGTCTTTTGCGCATGCAATATGAATGACGTTCTTATCCCCCCCCACCCCCCCCACCCCCCCCCCACCCCGAAAAGTGCCAAAAGTGCCTGAAACTACACGCGCGGGTACGCGCCGCACTCCCACTACAAACCCTAAAACCCCTACAAACCCCAAACACCCCAAACCCCAAACACCCTAAAGCCCTTAAACCCTCAAAAACCCTTTAACTCTTAAACCCTGAACCCCTAAACCCTAAACCCCAAACCCCAAACCCTAAACCCTAAACCTTAAACCTTCAAGGACGGGGCAGCACGTCAACGAGATCCGGCGCGGCGCCGGCGCTCTCAAGCACGCAGCTTGCCTGCTGAGGGTATGGGTTTGGGGCTTAGGGCTGAGGGCTTAGGGCTTAGGGCTGAGGGCTTAGGGCTTAGGGCTTAGGGCTTAGGGCTTAGGGCTTAGGGTTTCGGTTTTAGGGTTTAGGGTTCGTAGAAACCTGAGGGTTTAGGGTTTAGGGTTTAGGGCTTAGGGCTTAGGGCTTAGGGTTTAGGGTTTAGGGTTTAGGGTTTAGGGTTTAGGGTTCGTCGTAGAATCAACACGTGCAAGCCCTCAATCTCGAACACCCTTGAACGCAAGGCATTAAACTCCAACAGACCGGCTCCAGACCGTTCAAGTTTAGGGCTTAGGGTTTAGGGTTTAGGGTTTAGGGTTTAGGGTTTAGGGTTTAGGGTTTAGGGTTTGATGAGGCTCGAAGCTTGAAGGGATTGCGGGGGGGGGGGGGGGGCGAAGGAGTCCACTACAGCCACATGGGCTTTGACTAAACCCCAAACCTCCTAAGGACGTTAAATCTTGCTGGTTCTTAGTAGGGAAAGAGAAAAATGAGGTACCCTATAGAACTCCGTATAGGGAGCATCTATAAAGAAAATACAAGTATTCATCTATTTATTTCTTATGTATCTATATTTAGGGATAGAAGGTTTGTTTTTAAAAATATATATTTAGGGATATAAGCTACCATATATATTGTTATATATGTACACACATACATACATACATATATATATATATATATATATATATATACATGTATAAGGTACCTAATTCCGTAATTCCCTTCGAAGGAACCTGGAGAAGCCCATAAGGACCGGGCGGTGCAAATCATCGCCTTGCCAGCGGTCTTCGGCTGCACGGCGATGAACGCAGATGCCTCAAAGCACCTCCAGGTTTAGGGTTTAGGGTTTAGGGTTTAGGGTTTAGGGCTTAGGGCTTAGGGCTTAGGGCTTAGGGCTTAGGGCTTCTAGTTTACGTTTTAGGGCTTAGGGCTTAGGGTTTAGGGTTCAGGGTTCGGGGTTTAGGGGTTTCTGGCTGATGGTGCTGATAGGGCTCAGGGCCTGGGATTTGCGGTGGAAGTTGTAGTTGTTGGTTATGTTTTGGGGCTGAAGGGTGTCTAGTGTTTTGGGTTTGGGGCCGTTGATGTGGGGTCTGGGGGATTTCGGGATTAAGGTTAGCAGGGCTTGCGGTTTTACGCCAGGGTTTGGGCTTTGGGTTGACAGGATTTCTAGGGTTTAGGGCCTTTGTTAGCTCAGGGCTGAACGTTTTCGAACCGGGTCCGGCAGAAATGACTTTGTCGTGTCAGTGCACCTGTGCACGTAATGACATGAGAGAGCGTACTTGTCGCACGCCGCGGTTTGTTGCCCAGTCGTGAAGTGTCGCGACCTAGTTTGCCCAGTCGTGAGGTGTCGCGACCGCCCCCTCTCCGCCCTTGAAACAGTGGGGTGTTGCTGTCGCCGTCCGCCCAGCTACTGTTGTGCTGGAGCGAAAAGGACGACTTGCAACGCCTCCTGCTGTGCGCTGTAAGCTCGGAATGTCTTGGTGACCTGCGCTTCCATAACTTAGGGTACGTAGCGACCATAAATCCCCCTCGCCCCTCGCACCCTAAACCCCGTAAATAAACCTAAACCCTCACAACCTCTCGGGCACATTCTGTCACAAAGATCCCGGCTGATCTCGCGGGAGCTCCCGGAAATGTTTCTAGGATACCCAGAGCCTTAGGACCCCAAAAGTCTTCGTATCGTTTTATGTAGGCTCGTGATATAGAGCCCCCTTCCAGGAAGTCTGAGGAAACCTGCAGACAAGTACAGTAGAACTACACCCCTAACTGCGGATCCCTGTGTGCTCTGATGCAGAGCGCTCCGACCACCCAAGGCCCTGACAAAGATGTTCCAGGGCGCCGCGGGCGTTGACATGGAGGCGCCACGGTGCCTTAAATCCTGAACCCTATAAAACCACGTAAACCCTGTAAGCAAAACACCCTGCAAACCCTTGCCTGAAAACCCCAAACCCCATCAACCCCACAAAACCCCAAAGGGTGCAGAGGGTGAAGTGTGAGTTGAGGGGGTTTCACCCTGTTTCGCCTTCGCATCCTAACGGCTACACCCTAAACTCCCACCTGACACTGGGACCTGACATCTGACCTTTTCGTCCCGGAATCCCTAAAGCACCTACCCAGCCCCAGAACTCCCGAAATGTGTGAAAAAATGTAGGGTTTAGGGTTGAACCCTGAACCCTGAACCCTAAACCCTAAACCCTAAACCCTAAACCCCGGTTTAGGGACTCGCCGCAGTTGAGTCTCCAGCCTTTTGGAGGACCTGCTCGCCGGCGATTCGCTTCTCCAGCTCGCCAGCGTGAAGCCTCACGGCAATGCCACGGCGACGTTCCCTGGCCCCCGATAGGGTTTAGGGTTTAGGGTTTAGGGTTTGGGGTTTGGGGTTTAGGGTTTAGGGTTTAGGGCCGTTTCGGGTTTAGGGCCTTTAGGGTTCAGGGCCTTTAGGGTTTAGGGCCTTTAGGGTTTAGGGTTTCGGGTTTGGGGTTTGGGGTTTAGGGTCACCGGAAGTAGCACCGATGTCATCGTACTTGCTTCCTAGTTCATAAGGCCCACTTATACCCTGAGACCCTGAATCCCTAAAGCCTGGAGCCTTCTTCGAAGGGCACTTCTCTGCAAGCCCCGTAAATCCTTAAACCCCAAACCCCAAGCCCTAAACCCCTAAGCCTTAAATCCTGAACCCTAAACCCTAAACCCCTAAGCCCTAAACCCAAAACCCTCAAACCTAAACCCTAAACCCTACGCTACCATGCAAAGGAACCAGAAGCCTCGTAGATGTCCACCGGAACCTAGCACGAGATAGGGTTACCAAGGCGTCTCGTGGATCCCGTTTCGGGGTTTAGGGTTGTGGGTGAAAGGGAGAAAGGGTGCAGAGGCCCAAAGGCGGGGGAATCCCGGCAAACCCCCTAAGCCGTGAAACCCTACACCACTGGAACCCTAAACCCTAAACCCTAAGCCCTAAACCCTAAACCTTAAACCCCTGAACCCTAAACCCTAAACCGTAAACCCTAAACCCTAAACCCTAAACCCTAAACCCTAAACCCTAAACCCTAAACCCTAAACCCTAAACCCTAAACCCTAAACCCTAAACCCTAAACCCTAAACCCTAAACCCTCACCCTGACAACTTGTCGCCGAAGGTTTGGGGGCTTTGGGGCGGGGGTTCCTTCGATGAATCCCGGAACATTCATGGTCCTTTCTGCTTCAGCCAAACACAGCCGTGAAACCCTAAACCCTAAACCCTAAACCCTAAACCCTAAACCCTAAACCCTAACCCTAAACCCTAAACCCTAAACCCTAAACCCTAAACCCGAAGCCCTAAGCCCTAAACCCTACACATTCCCCCCCCCCCAAAAAAAAAAAAACCATGGAAGTCTTCCAGGGACGCCGCGCAAGTCTACACCGCGCAGGTGGAGACCTGCTACCAGGCCTCGGCATGACCCTCTTAGGTTGAGTGTTTTTGTTTTTTGACAGTTCTCGGGTTTCCCAAACTTCAGGGTTTGGGGTTTAGGGCTTGGGGTTTAGGGTTTAGGGTTTAGGGTTTGGGGTTTAGGGTTTGGGGTTTGGGTTTGGGGTTTGGGGTTTAGGGTTTAGGCAACCTCAGCCCATCTGTTGAATAGATTTGGGGGCTGGCATCCTATGAGTCACAAGTTCGATCTCCCTATAAGCCCTGAACCCTCTAAACCCCTCTAAATTCTTCCAAACTGGTGCAAACCCCCTCCCCCCCCCCCCAAACCCTAATCCTCGACGGCCGCCCAAGCTAGGATTGCGGTATGCAGCCCTGAGTTCGGCTAACTCTCCCTCGCCTGGGCGATAGGCGTTAGATTTCAGGGGGTTTGCGACCCTCTATGGGGATGTCCATAACTTGGGTTCTAGCATGTGGGGGTATATCAGGGTACCCTTGCTTCTGGGAAATGCCCATATACCCTAAACCCTAGACCCTGAACCCAAACCCTAAACCTTAAAACCCTAAACCCTAAACCCTAAAAACAATACATATACATATACATATACATATATATTTAGGTTTCAGGGAACGTCATGGAACTCGAGACATAGCACGAGTGTCCCTCCTTGTATCCCAAAGCCCGCACTGCGCCGAGCCACAGGGTTGAGGGTTTAGGATTTAGGGTTTGGGGCTTAGGATTTAGAGTTTAGGGTTTAGGGTCAACGCGAAGACCAAAAGACCAATCCCCAAGGCCCTTAAGTCGCAACGCCCGCCGCTCTGACTCCTAAAACACCAGCAGCCTAATCCTTCAAACCCTAAACCCTAAACCCTAAACCCCATAACCCCATAACCCCATAACCCCAAGACCACAAGACTCTCCAACGCCTACAACCCCCAAAAGACCTAAACCATAAACCCTCAAGCCCAAAAGACCGTAAAACCGCAACACGCGAAGGCGCAGAATGCCCCAAGTCCCTAAACTCGAAATCCAAACCCCAAAACACTACAGCCCCAAACCCTAAACCCAAAACCCTGTTCCCCAAGCCCTAAACCCCAAACCCTGAACCCCAATCCCTAAACGCCAAACCCTAAACCCCAAACCCTAAACCCCAAGCCCTAAACCCTAAACCCCAAATCCTAAACCACAAACCTGCGTGTAATGCATAAGTCCTTGTGGACTCCAGATTCACACTCTGAACCCTAAACCCTATGCCCCAAACCCTAAACCCTAAACCCTAAACCCTAACCCTAAACCCTAAACCCTAAACCCTAAACCCTAAACCCTAAACCCTAAACCCTAAACCCTAAACCCTAAACCCTAAACCCTGAACCCTGAACCCTGAACCCTGAACCCTGAACCCTGAACCCTGAACCCTGAACCCTGAACCTCAGACCGGAGGTGGGTGACCTTTACGAAGCCTGGGCGCTGCCGCCTCAGTCAGACACCCTCAGGGTTTGGGGTTTAGGGTTTGGGGTTTAGGGTTTAGGGTTTAGGGTTTAGGGTTTAGGGTTTGGGGTTTAGGGTTTAGGGTTTGGGGTTTGGGGTTTAGGGTTTAGGGTTTGTGGTTTAGGGCTTGGGGTTTAGGGTTTAGGGCTTTGGTAGGGGCTAGGCTTTTGGGTCTGCAGTTCAAGGTTTGGGGTGGAGGCTGAGGGGGGTAGTAGAGGGTTTGAATGTTTTTTAAATGAGGCCTTTGAGTCCTAGATTTCTTCAACACACCCCTCCCCCCCAAACAGGCTTCTCAAGATGTGGGTTTCGAGGTAAGAGGCGGCCGCTACAGCATTTAAGCCTCAGGCTCTGAACCTCAAAGCTGTGAGTTGCCTAAAGGCCTGAATCGCCTGAACCCCATATCCCGAACCTACCCGCCCAAGCACAAAGCTGGACCATCCCCCCAAAACTTTGAAGCCTTAAGCAACCCGAAAGCGGAACCCGAAAACCGAAGCAGGCCGAGGGAAAGCGGAACCCTAAACCCTGAACCCTAAACCCTGAATCCTAAACCCTAAACCCTAAACCCTAAACCCTAAACCCTAAACCCTAAACCCTAAACCCTAAACCCTAAACCCTAAACCCTAAACCCTAAACCCTAAACCCTAAACCCTAAACCCTAAACCCTAAACCCTAAACGAGCCGAGGCTGTACCAGTTCTGCAAGATGACGCTGGAGATTCTGCGGAGCTCTTTGGAGCACATCGCGAATGCCTCCCGGCCTGGTCTGGGCGCACCTTGCGGTTTGGGGATTAGGGTCTATAAGGGGTTTTAGGGTTTTTAGGGTTTTCTGGGTTTTTAGGGTCTTGAGAGTCTTTTGGGGTTTTTAGGGTTTTTTGGGGTTTTAGGGCAGTTAGGGCTTGTAGGGCTTTTCGCGTTTAGGGCTTAAGGGTTGCTAGGGTATTTAGGGTTTAGGGTACGTAGGGTTTAGCGTACAGGGTTTTCAGGACTTCATCAATTCTATAGGGCTTTGGGTGCAGAAGTTCAGGGGGTGAGGGTTTGGAGTTTAGATGGAGGTGCCCTTAAACCCTAAGCCCTAAACCTAAACTCAGAAGCAAAAGAGTCCCTAAACCCGAAACCTTAAACCCTGAACCCTAAACCCTAAACCCTTAAGGGAGCCCCATGCCCTTTGCCTGTTTTGTTGTTGGGTTGCTGTCCTTGAACAACCTTTTTCGAGAGGCTCCGAGGTGACCGTAGAAACCACGAGGTTGAGGGTTTAGGGTTTAGGGTTTAGGGTTTAGGGTTTAGGGTTTAGGGTTTTAGGGTTTAGGGTTTTAGGGTTTTAGGGTTTTAGGGTTTTAGGGTTTTAGGGTTTAGGGTTACTTCAGCCCTACACCCTCAAGCCTGAGCGGCCCAGCCCGAACCACAACACCACACCGAAGTCTGAGCCGAAGCCCGAAACCCCCTCAAGGAACCCTCTGAAGCCCTAGGCCCCTCGACCCTCAATCCCCTGAACGCTTAAGCACCCCTCAGCCGTAGTGCTATAATCCCTAAACCCCAAACCCTAAACCCTAAACCCTATACCCCAATCCCCAAACCCAAAACCCCAAACACCACACCCCAAACCCCAAACCCAAAACCCCATGAAAACTTTAGGGGCCCCGCCAGGAGCGGCAAAAGTCCGACGAGCGCCACGTCGTAGCTTCTGGGCTGTGCCTCGGGCACAGCTTGCGGTAGGGTTTAGGGTTGAGGGTTTAGGGTTTTGGGTTTAGGGCCGTGTCTTATAAGAACATCCACAGCCCTGTCTTTTCAAAAGGTGTCTGAACAGTCTCTTTCAACTGTGCTCTCGCAATCGCCCGCAACAAATCGCGCTTTGGGTTCCTGGTGGGTCTTCATGGGCTTCGCCCATATGTTTAAGCCCTAAATCCTAAACCCTATAAACCCTAAACCCCAAACGTCAAACCCCAAACCCCAAACCCCAAACCCCAAACCCTAAACCCTAAACCCTAAACCCTAAACCCAACGTTCTGGTGAGTCTGGGACCTTCGTGTTTCGGTCTCCTCGGGTTTCGGTTTTGGGGATATGCTGAGCTTCAGGGTTCGAGGGCCTTTCGGGCCCCTAAAGTTCAAACTTCACCCTAAACCCTAAACCCTAAACCCTAAACCCTAAACCCTAAACCCTAAACCCTCATAGCTTGGCAAAGATTTATTGCGCGAAACGCGCCGCCACTCCTTCCCACTCATGCCTTGCTGGGTACCCCCTGGAGGGTTTAGGGTTTAGGGTTTAGGGTTTAGGGTTGTAGGGTTTTAGGGTTTAGGGTTTAGGGTTTAGGGTTTAGGGTTTAGGGTTTAGGGTTTAGGGTTTAGGGTTTAGGGACCCCTGAGCCTGGCAAAGATCATCGGGTCGTCATGTGGGGGCTGATCTAGATATACTCTGGGCCCTGTGTAGGGGGCCTACGCGAGAAGAGAGACCCCAGAAACCCTGTGCTGCTACGACGATCCGCAAAAACCCTAAACCCTAAACCCTACCCTAAACCCTAAACCCTAAGCCCTAAACCCTAAACCCTAAACCCTAAACCCTAAACCCTAAACCCTAAACCCTAAACCCTAAACCCTAAACCCTAAACCCTAAACCCCTAGCTTGTGTAGTAAGCAGCGGAAGGAAGACGCCGAGAGTGTCTGAGCTGTTAGAGGCTTCTAACCATGATCAGAACTTCCAGGCTGTTCCTAAACCCTAGACCCTAAAACCCCTTAAGATCATCCCTAAGCCTCAAGCCCTTATCCCGAAACCTTAAACCCCAAACCCTAAGCCCCTGTGAGTTTGGAGGCCACTTGAAATCCTACAACCCTAAACCCGAAATCCTAAACTCTAAGCCCTAAACCCTAAACTCTAAGCCCTAAACCCTAAGCCCTAAACCCTAAACCCTAAACCCTAAACCCTAAACCCTAAACCCTAAACCCTATGCCATCCTCCGCCTGCGCCCTCGCCAGGCTAGTGGCTCACAAGTCCTTGGCCGACATCGCCTATACGGGGGCTGGGGCTCTCAGGGTTCAGGGTTCAGGGTTTAGGGTTTAGGGTTTAGGGTTCAGGGTTTAGTTAGGGTTTAGGGCTTAGGGGTTTAGGGTTTAGGGTTCAGGACTCACTGAGTTGCTGAGGCAATTGGCATGACCAGGCTCCCGGAAGACGGCGCAGTGCAGATAGAAAAGTACCAGCGGTCCAAGATACTTCTAGTTGCTTAAGAATCCCCCCCCCCCCCCCCCCCCCCTCCCCCCAAAAAAATCAACGACAACCATCCCCATATTCCCGTCTATCAGGAAGAATATGTTCCTTTTTTGGGGTTTCTTAAGTAGTAGGATCCACCCGGAACCCGAACCCAAACCTGTATAGCGAAACGGGCCCCCTAGACCGGCAACCCGAGACCCTAAACCGCTACCTAGCAGCCGCATGTCTCCAGGCCATTGCACTTCGCTTTTCTTTCAATCCGCAACCGGACTTGGCTACCCCCGATGGGGTTGAGGGTGTAAGGTTTGCGGTTGAGGGTTTAGGGCTGCCGCTGTCCCAGGTGATCATGTTCCTGGTCGTCTGCTGCGCGCAGGCTGGCTGGTCGCTGTACCTCCTGACCTTCACCAATCCGGAGGACCGGGTTTGATTCGACTGGCTGGTTCTTAGTAGGGAATGAGGGAATGAGGGCCCTATATACACCCTTTACAGGGATTCTATAGGGCCCTCATTCCCTCATTCCCTACTAAGAACCAGGGGCTAGATTTCGGCTTCAGGTTCTCTTGCTGCGCCGAGCGCGAAGCGAACCGTCTGGAATCCTGAGCTGCCCCCCTAAACCCTAAACCCTAAACCCTAAACCCTAAACCCTAAACCCTAAACCCTAAACCCTAAACCCTAAACCCTAAACCCTAAACCCTAAACCCTAAACCCTAAACCCTAACCTAAACCCTAAACCCTAAACCCTAAACCCTAAACCCTAAACCCTAAACCCTAAAACCTAAACCCTAAACCCTAAACCCTAAACCCTAAACCCTAAACCCTAAACCCTAAACCCTAAACCCTAAACCCTAAACCCTAAACCCTAAACCCTAAACCCTAAACCCTAAACCCTAAACCCTAAACCCCAACCCTAAACCCCAAAGCCCGGAGCCCAAAGCCCAAAGCCCAAAGCCCAAAGCCCAAAGCCAAGAGCCCTGCCCCACTCCGCTGCCACCCAGGCTTCAGGCCTTGGCAGCCCCCAGGGGTACCCTCTACCCTTTTTTTTTGGGGGGGGGGCGGGGGGGGGGGGGGTTCTGGGTTCCCTTATAAAGCAAAAACAAGCCCACCCTAAACCCTAAACCCTAAACCCTTATGATGATATGGTTACTGGGCTACTGAGAGGCCTTTTTTTGGGGTCGAAGTTGCAGCAGCCTTTGAGGAGAACTGGGCCGACTACAACAGCCAGATGGGAGCCCTGCCGTCTGTGAGTGATTGTTCATGTCGCATGATGAGGGTTTAGGGTTTAGGGTTTAGGGTTTAGGGTTTAGGGTTTAGGGTTTAGGGTTTAGGGTTTAGGGTTTAGGGTTTAGGGTTTAGGGTTTAGTATAACATTCTTGTTACCATCGTGCGTTTTATGACTCTCAACCCGAAACCCCAAACCCATTTGGTATCTCCTTTTTTAACGGGCAGGAGGGAGGGGGGTCTTGCGATGCTTTCCGCTCCGAAGAGGCTTGGAGCAGGAGCGTGCTACTACCAGCCACCCCCGACTCCCACAAAGTGGTAGAGGCCCCCTACATACACACAATGGTTTTGAACCCTTAACCCTTAACCCCGAACCCTGAACCCTTAACCCTTAACCCTTAACCCTTAACCCTTAACCCTTAACCCTTAACCCTTAACCCTTAACCCTTAACCTTGAAGATATATATATATATACATATATACATATATACACAATAGGCTTCTTGCCCCTTGCCTCCACGAACAAGTTGGGGACCCAGGCAAGCTTTGAGGGAGTGTTCGTCATGGGCTGTCCGGGTCGGCTCAGTTGATACGGTTTACTGAGTCATAGTGTCCTTGAGGGAGGGGGTTTTGGGTTTAGGGTTTAGGGTTTTTGTTTTTTCTTTTTTTGGGGGGGGGGGGGCATGTAACCCAAGGTCCCCCACTACTCCCTAAGGCTCCCGAAGTTTCCCTAAAGATTCCTCCCCCCCAAGGGCCCTATAACTGAGGCTACCCTCCGGTGACGAAAGGTCTTGAACCTGGAGGTGTTATCCTCTTCATCAATCATAATTATGAACCCCCCTTTCAAACCCGTAAAACCCTTAAACCCTTCAAACCCTTAAACCCTGAAAGCACTTAAGACCCTTAAGCCCTAAACACCCTAGATTCTGGAACAACCATCCACACAGCCCGAAGCTCTACGCCCTCCCATCCAGTGCAGGTGTTGGAGTTATGTGGGAATTTGGTACCCTCTAAAGCCCCTTTAAAGGGAATCTGTAGGGGGGTATAAGGCGCCTAGTTCCCGAATTCTTGAGAACTAGCAAGCTAAACTCTAACCCTAAGCCCTAAACCCTAAACCCCAAACCCCAAACCCCAAACCCCAAGCCCCAAGCCCCAAGCCCCAAACCCTAATCCCTAAACCCTAAACCCGAAACCCTAAACCCTGAACCCTTAGCAGCCGTCTAAGGACGCTTTCAGGCAGCCGGTCTGGTGACCTCCATGGCGGCCATCTACAACCTGAACACGGTGGAGCCCTGACTTCAATAAAATTGCCGCCCGAAGCCTGGCCCTAAACCCTAAACCCTAAACCCTAAACCCTAAACCCTAAACCCTGCAGAGCCAGATTGGGGAGTGGTGACTGGGCATGTGACCTCTGAGCCACGGGGAGAAGGGGCCCCTTGCTATGCTAACTGGGGTTTAGGGTTTAGGGTTTAGGGTTTAGGGTTTAGGGTTTAGGGTTTGGGGTTTGGGGTTTGGGGTTTGGGGTTTAGGGTTTGGGGTTTGGGGTTTGGGGTTTAGGGTTTGGGTTTTCGGGTTCAGGGTTTAGGTTGGGATGGTCCCCCTTATACTAGCAGTCCTTCATAGGGACTAAAGTGGGGGGGGGGGGGTACTATAATCCCTATTCAGGGTTCATCCCAAGGTTTAGGGTTCAAGGTTTAGCTCAAAGTTGTTTTGCCTTCGGGGCCCTGAAGGAAGAGACGCTCCAGGGACCCTAAGCCTACAGAAGCGCACTCGCATTCGCAACCCACCCACCCTAATGAACACAAACAAGGGAGAAACTAACAACAAGCCTGTAGACATGAAAACGCTGAAGCTTCAGGCCCGACACCCTCCCCCCCCCCGAACTCTGAGGAGATTGAGTTCCACGCCTTCTTCGAAGGCCTCGCGTGGGAAAAGCGACCTTGGGCTCGGGATCTATAGTATCTATAGGGTTTAGGGTTTAGGGTTTAGGGTTTAGGGTTTAGGGTTTAGGGTTTAGGGTTTAGGGTTTAGACTACTATTTGCTTAAGAGCCCCAAAAGAAATAAAAGAAACAAGAATCCCTAAAATGCCCTTAATGAGGAAGAATATCTTTTCGGGGTTCTTAGGCAATTAGTACCGAAAGGACTTAGCACACACCCTCAGGGCCCCTAAGCCCAGCATCAAAGTCGCTCCCTAATGCTTTGGGCCGAAATTCTAAACCCCAGTCCCTCATCCCTAAACCCCAATCCCTAAACCCTGAACCCAAAACCCCAAACCCTAAACCCTAAACCCCAATCCCTAAACCCTAGAAACCCCCCCTAGAAAGCCCCTCTTCGTGGGATAGGTTAACCCTAAACCTGCAACCCTAAGCCCTAACCCTAAACCCTAAACCCTACCCTAAACCCTATCCCTGGGAAAGGTTATGGACCACTCCTGAAGTTCTTGACGGTTAAACTGCTTTTGTCCCTAGCCTACTTCCAGAAGGCCGGAGGGTCTAGGGCTTCGGGGTTTAGGGTTTAGGGGTTTAGGGTTTAGGGTTTGGGGTTTAGGGGTTTAGCGTTTGGGGTTTAGGGGTTTAGGGTTTCGGGGTTTAGGGTTTAGGGTTTCGCGGTTGTCTCTAACTCTAGGCTGCCCAGGAGTACCCTTATTCACGTGTAGCTCAGACGGTGTTTTGTGGGCCAGTGGAACCATTGGGACCAACCCACCCCGCCCCCCACCCCCCGGGTGTTTAATTGGATTTAGATACCCACAAACCCTCAAACCCTTAAACCCATACAACTCTGCAACCCTTAACTCCTTTAACTCTTGAGCCCCTTAAACCCTCTGTCCCTCTAGTTCCATAAGCCCTAAACCTCAAACCCTCTGCCCGTTGGGGTCTTTCAGACTTTCAGTCAGCCTCAATTTCGAAGTTCCGGTGTCGCCGTCGCCATCCGCGAGTTTCGGCCCATCCCGAAACTCTAAACCCTAAAACCCTGTAAAATCTAAAAGCCTGAAAACCCCAAGAACCAGAATAAAGCCCAAACACCCTGAAGCCCCAAAGCCTAAAAACCCTAAAGCCCCCAAAACCCGAACCCCCTGAGTCCCCAATCCCCAAGGCCCTTTTAGGGGCTTCTTCGCAGGGCTGCGTCTAAGGGTTTACGGTCAGAGTTTCAGCCAGCGTTTTGGGGTTTCGGCCCAACAGAAGGGCTTCTTCGCAGGGCTGCGTCTACGTCCTGCAGACGGTGAACCGCTCTCTTCCGGGGCCTGGCCTCCCAGGTTTTTTTTTGTTGTTGGCCTTTTGCAACTTTTGGGGGGTTTTGGGTTTGGGGTTTGGGGTTTAGGGTTTAGGGTTCAGGGTTTAGGGTTTAGGGTTTAGGGTTTAGGGTTTAGGGTTTAGGGTCGCAGAAGCCAGGGCGGGATGCAGGCTAGCCTCGAAAGCTTCGTGAAGTGCGAGCGAAGAGCCGTCATGGCCCGACTGTGGAGGGCCAGCTAACACTGTTACCCCAGGCCGTGTCAGAGGGCAAAACAATCCGAACATTCTAAATGTAGGGGTTTAGGGTTTGGGGTTTAGGGGTTTAGGGGTTTAGGGTTTAGGGTTTAGGGTTTAGGGTTTCAAGGTTCAGTGGTCGAAGGTGCAGGTTGGTGGAACTCAAGGTTTAGGCTTTGGTGCTGAGGATGTAGAATGTCCGCAAAGGAGGGGGTTAGAAGCCCTCAAGCCTAGGACCCCAAACGGTTTAACCCCAAACCCCAAGCCCCAAGCCCCAAGCCCCAAGCCCCAAGCCCCAAGCCCCAAGCCCCAAGCCCCAAACCCTAAACCCTAAACCCTAAACCCTAAACCCTAAACCCTAAACCTAAACCCTAAACCCTAAACCCTAAACCCTAAACCCTAAACCCTGAACCCTGAACCCTGAACAATGAAAACCCTAAACCCGAAACCGCAAACCCTAAACGCCCCGATTGGGATTCAGGGCCTAGTGCGTTTCAGCGGTCTTGCAGCTCTTCGGGGCTCAAAGGCTTGTGCACCCGAAGCCCCAGACCCCCAAACTCTAAACCTTAAACCCCGCCAAACCCTAAACCCTAAACCCTAAACCCTAAACCCTAAACCCTAAAGCCTAGTTACACCCTCAGTGTGTTTTGGGGGGTTCGGGATCGTTTGAGGGCGGTGAGACGGCGAACTGCTTGGAGCTTTTCTTGGGGATTGTTCTGGGCCTTCAGAGAGCTTAGGTCTAAACAATCAACCCGGAACCCCAAACCCTAAACCCTGAACCCTGAACCCTGAACCCTGAAAACCCTGAACCCTAAACCCTAAACCCTACACCCCAAACCCGCCTCAGGCTGCTCCAGAACCTGATCGCCACGGTTCCATTCGTACAGCAGCTCGTGAGCTCTCCGGCTGCAGATCGGCGAGGGGTTTAGGGTTTAGGGTTTGGGGTTTCGGGTTTGGGGTTTAGGGTTTAGGGTTTGGGGTTTAGGGCTTGGGATCTAGGGTGCGGGGCTTAGGGTGTAGGGTTTAGGGGTTTTGAAGAAGAGGGTTGATCCAACTCGCCTTTTTTTCTGTTTTTCGGGGGGGGGGGGGGGGGGGGGGCGTCTCTAGTGTTTAGCGTTTAGGGTTTAGGGCTTCCTTACTGCTTGGGGTGCAAGCAGTGCGCAAGTTGTAGATCACCCCTCATGAGAGTGTTCAGGTTTTGAGTATTTGCGGGGCCTGGGGTGAAGGGCAGTCCTTAAGTGGGGGTGTCCCTTGTGGGACTTCCATGTAAGGACCCTGGTATCTTGGGGGGTATATTCAGGGATCCCTTTTTGGGGAAAATTGCCCATACAGTTATTGGGCTTCGGGCTCTTCCCTTCACTCGTGTAGCTTCACTTCCATTTCCCCTAGATCCCTTTGCATGGCCCTCTCTCCATGCGTCAACCTTCCCATACGCGCCTTGAGACCTTAAGCGCCCCGAAAGCCGTAGCAAAGCACAAACAGTGCTCCTAGGTAGGATAAGGGGGACCCTTAAAAGGGAACCCCTTCTTAACCCTCTTCTGGCTCTCTTAAGCAGGGACCTTATTCAGAGGGTCTATCTCCTCAAGGGTCCCCCTAATCCTATCCCCTACTCAGTGAAACATGAGACCTGGCGCAGGCATGAAAGACTCTGAGCAGCCAGGTTGCAAGATGCTTTTAGCCCAAAAACAGACCCTGCAAATCCTCGAGCCCTGAACCCCTAAAGCCCCCAAATGCCCCGCAAACCTCAAACCCTGTAAGTTAAACAGTTAAACCCTAAACCCAAAACCCTAAACCCTAAACCTAAACCCTAAACCCTGGACCCCACAACCCCTGCGACTTTGAGGCTGAAAGTTGGCCCTAAAGCCCCAAGCTCCGAGCCCGGGTTCTGCAGTAGGGTTTACGCCTTAGCGTCTACAAGGGTAAAAGGGTTCTAGGGTTTAGGGTTTAGGGTTCCAGGGTTTAGGGTTTAAAAGGGTTCCCGGGTTAAGGGGCTCGGCTTTCTGAAGGCTTTTTCAAGGTTGGGAGTATGATCATCAGGTGAAGGCTTTTCAAGGTTGGGAGTACGATCATCAGCGGCCATCTGCAAACGGAAGCTGAGCTCGTTCCAAGCCCTTCTCCACTTGCGAGATAGGGCTGCAACACCGCAGGTGTCAGCTGCAAAGTCAGACTTTAGGGTTTAGGGTTTAGGGGTTCGGGTTTAGGGTTTAGGGTTTAGGGTTTAGGGTTTAGGGTTTAGGGTTTAGGGTTTAGGGTTTAGGGTTTAGGGTTTAGGGTTTAGGGTTTAGGGTTTAGGGTTTAGGGTTTAGGGTTTAGGGTTTAGGGTTGTAATCGGATTAGGGTTTATAGGGCACAAGGTTCAGGGGGGAGGGGGTAGTTGGGGAACATCGGTCCTTACGCCTTGCCCCGCTCCCTTGCAGCCTCCCGGGTGCCTTGCTCGCTAGGGGAATTCTTCACTTAACTTTGAGTTTCCATCACAGGGTTATGGAGGACATCATATCGTACCCGAATCCCTAAGCCCTAAACCCTAAACCCTAAACCCTAAACCCTAAACCCTAAACCCTAAACCCTAAACCCTAAACCCTAAATCCTTATTCGTGCCAACATAGTGCAAGTTCCGAAACAAGAGCCCATGGTGTTTGGGGGGGGGGGAGGGGCACTTTCGGATCATGTAGTTGCCCATGGGAGGGATGTGGATTGGTGGAAGCCACAGGTTCAGAAATTCAGGATTTAGGTAGGGTTTAGGATTCAGGATTTAGGAGTTTGGTTTAGGGTTTAGGGTTTAGGGTCTAGGGTCTAGAGTTTAGGGTTTAGGGTTTAGGGTTTAGGGTTTA